TATCTAACGCGACAGTGTTTATTTAGTTGTGCATCGTTTTAATATTGATAAATGAAAAAAGAAGAAAACCAGTTGCGCTACAACCTTCTTAAGTCTGGGCCTATTTCTGTATCTGTTTCATGATAACTTGTAAATTTAATAGACAAGTAGGAGATTAGCTTACTGTGCCTGACACACGCCGTCGACTCTATGGGTCTAAGGCAAGCCAGTTCTTCACGCTGTTTTCCTTCACTGTTCAAGCGAATGTTACATGCGCACATAGTCAGAAAGTCCATTGGTGCACAGCCGTGTTCATAGCTACGACGTCAATGATGAAAGTCGCACGCTGAAACCACTAGACGTAATTGTCAAATGCCTTATCTAGATTCTCGACTGTAACTACACTTTGTTGTCTATTGTTAGGTCAGCGACTACCTTTAAGCATCTTATAAAACCTAACATAACAGGTATCGCTTACATAAAATATGTTGGACATTGGCAATATTTTCAATAAAAGTCGTGCATTTCTTGTTGACCAATGATTAATCACTTATTACAATTTGCATTACACTATTTTATGTTACAATAACACACACGAGGTTAGCGAACAGTTGATAGTAACAAAAGTGTCCACAAATACACCTATAAACTAGATTATAAATTATTCAATAAAATAGATGTTTGGTTATTAGAGCGGTGTTTGTCTAGGGGCTAGTGTGCCACTCAACCCAGAGCTCGTAGGTTCGAAACCTGGCTATGCTCCATTCGAGTTTCTATATATGTGCGAATTTCTATAGCTCGTACGGTGAAGGAAAACATCGTGAAGAAATTGGATTTTGACCCAAAACTTCGGCGACATGTATCAGGCACAGAACACTGTTCACCCACTTGCCTATTAGCAAAAAGAAATGACTTCGAAACAGAGATAAAGAAATCTGAGGTCCAGATCTAAAAAGTTTGTAGCACTGGGTTTGGGGTTGTAAGTACTAAAGAAACGTGCTGTATTTTATATATACATAAATACTAAAAATAGTAAATGCTTTTTTACTAACACGTGTATTTGACCAACTGCACATAAAATAGACCCTTTTTAATATGTTTCTACGAATTTCTCATAAAGGTTGAATTCTTGAAATCCCGTTTAGTCATGCCGAATTCCTATAACCGCGAAACTGCGTACCAATTTGTAGTAATTATTAAATTTCTTAGTAGGCCTTGTAAACGGGAGTTAAACTCTTCAACTTTTGTTTAAGTCTGCTAACCTATTTTATTTATGAATAAGGAAAATTTATATCACTTCAATAACCTGAAGAATGTTTTGGATGATATGAAAAATTATCATGTTACATATCTAATATATAAAATTCTCGTGTCACAATGTTCGTTCCCATACTCCTCCTAAATGGCTGGACCGATTCTTATGAAATGTTTTATGCATATTCAGTATGTCTGAGAATCGCCTAGTATCGATCTTTCAAACCCCTAAATGTTAAGGGTCCACTCCAAAAAATTTATTTTTTAGATATTTTTTTTTGTATATTTTTTTGTGATACAGCATACAAAAATACACACAACTCTTAATTTTCAACCCAACGATCAACCCCTATTTTTAATTATAGTAGATAGTTATTTTAATTGAATTATTTCCTAGAAATAATATACATGGCAAAACAACGTTGGCCGGGTCAGCTAGTATGCTATTATAATTAGCTTTTATCGACACTATTACAAAGAGGAAAGATTTGTTTTTTTGCTTTCAATAGGCTTCAAAAGTTTCGGACTGATTTGAAAAATTATTTCACCATTAGAACTTACCAAGAGAACCCTACGTTATCCCTGATGAATATAGGCTGTACTATATATTCAAGTTAGAGTTCTATATGAAATAACGATAGTGTACGGTTTTTAAAACTCTTATGCCCTCCCCATGTAACTTACATATTTTTTAATATCTAAAATTCAATTGCTCACTTAAGAAACTTAATTATTTTTTAGGAAGAAATTACTTGGAAATTGTTAACTAAACACAGATTTTAAAACATATAATGAAATCTGAAATTACAAATAATTACTAAAAAAAAATCGAACCCCCTTAACAATCAAATTGTCCCCATGTGGGGCGTGGGCCTCACGGCCCCACACTGCTATAGAGTGTAGAACATCGTGCTACGACGGAATTAATGCGGTTAGAACAGCACAGCACAGCTATAGTGCTGATAAAAAGGTATTAATACAAAATTCACCATAACCCTAGAACGTAAGTTTTTATATTCTCGTTTACAAGGTCTGTTATGAAACAGTTCATAATTCATTTTACGGAGATAATTGTCGAAACCTCCAAAGTATTTCACTTGCGTTTTAAATGTCTAGACGTCACTCCGTGTTGGCGCCAAAGGCTTTTAAAAGCCGTTAATTGAAGGAAATGTTTTTAAGAATACTCATCGTGCAACGTTGAAGTATTGTTTTAGCAAAAGCGGAATATTCGGAACTTGAAATTTTTTATTTTTTATTTCATCAATTATAAGTAATTTTACAGCGTTTACTTATTATTAAACAAAACACTTAGACAATACAGAAAGCCAAAACAGATTACATAGATAAACAATATATACGAAACAGAAAACAAATAAGTACATTAATAGATAAAAAAATGAATGAATGTTTAAGGTTTATTCTGAGTCAAACTATCCAGATAGAATCTCACAAATCTTATAAAAACTATCTATCTATTAGCTAAATTGGATTTCGAATCTACAGAGGCCTTACTACGTATCTTGGCATGACTTGAGTTGTTGAGTAAGCTCACAACACAGTCATAATAAATCATTGACTGAAAATTTTATCTCGTTAGGTTCATTTTCATGTGTAAAAATAGTGTTGAATGTGTGCGTTAACAAAAGGCCGACACACGCACACTAACGAGTAGTTAAAAAATCGTGTTTCTGCCATTGTACTTATGTTGTTATTACCTATGTACTGAGAAACTAGTGTCATCTCTTTTTCTCCTACATTAGTTGCAAACACTACTTTCTCTTTCGTGCACTCGCCATTTAAATTTGTTATTTTAGACAGTGCGGAAGGAAAAATAAAAGTTTTTAAATCAAATCGCAATACTTACGAGTGAAATGTTACACCTCTGGCTTTATTTGTGTTTCTAGAATTGTTGTTGCACTTTAAAAAGGCACACGATGGCATTTTGTGACACTAAACTGCTCGCAAACGTCCTTTACAACACGTCCGGCTAACACTGTGTTTAGGGGTGCACTGATCCCAGGTTAGTGAGCTCACTCACTTCGACTGTGGAACAACACGGCGCGGTCTCACTGCGGTAAGGGCCTATCTAACGATATAAATCTATGAATAAACTATATACATGAGTTACCAAAGAGTTCTAAAATTGAAATTCAAAAAAGTTTTCATTGGCAATGTTTCTAACTGGACAGTTCTAAATATTTTCAGTGTTACCCACGTACCCAGATGTTATAGCCCCACAGGAGTTTTAGCTCCAGAAACGCCTGGATAACTACTGAACTTTATGACTAAGTTTCCGAGAAAATTCTACTCAAACATGTACTGTATAAACCACACGTGCACGGAAGTCTACACAGATCATCATACTCAAATATTGTCAAATTCCAACGTTACATACAAGCCCAACTCCTTTTTTGAAATCGGTTTATCCTTCAATAATAATAACGCGAACGTTGGGCGTTGGTCTATGTAAAAAGGAATTTAAATTCACCTGATTAACAACGCGATACTGACTTAATAGTTGTTTACCATGCATATTATAAAATGCATAACCTGCGGCCCACAGACATCAAACGAATGTCCTAGATAGCCATATTGGGCTGCGCTGTTGAAGAATTTATAAAATAATTTCACTACCTGATTATATATTTAACGTTGGATATTTTCGATGTATACTACAAAGGGAATGTTTTGATGCGATTCAGTGCTTATCAAACTATTTTTTAGGCTTTGATTACAGTGAGTGAGTGACTTAGTTTCCTCTTTTATATGTCTTTTTAAAATATTTGTACAGGCCAAGTAACACAATTTTTTTAACCAGTACAAAGGGAGGTCCATCTACTTATAAGTATTTGTAATTTTAGTTATTGTTTTGTTTCAAAGCCTTCATGTAATTTGTTTGGACTAGAAATTAAATTTGAGGGTACTACAAAATTTTAACAAGAGAAACTTACACAATTGTTAATCTACATGATCTTTTAGGTTCTTGAGATGTCGTTAATAAATTATTGATCTATAAAATTAAACCTAAATAGGTTACATTTGTATCAACAGTTAATTAAAATGCGCTATAGAAATGAAGAGGTCCGAACACGTTTATTAATTCATGCTAATTTATTTTGTCGTAATTAAAAGGAATTTTACGAGTTGTCCATCGGCGCGGACGGCACCTTTTAGGCGCCATTTTCGTAAATATTTATTGCTAAATCGTCCCATTAAAATACCAGAAATCAGTGTCATATTACAGATGAATAGGTATTCACCGGTTTTATGCTCCGAGTTCATTTCAACGGTTTAATATTTAAACGTTTTTTTAATAGCGATTTGACTATTACGAAAGCATTACTAAAATTTTGCGATTAAGTTGAATTTTCTAAATTATGTCAGCGCGCTTATTTATTGTTATGCTATGCCTTGAAGAGACCAGAAGTGATTGTATAATATGTATTATTTATTTATCATAATCAATCCTACGATAGTTTCAAATAATATTATTTAAATTATATATTTATTCATTCGGAGACAGCATTAGACGTAACGTGTTAAATGAGCACTTTACAACAGACTCGTTCGGCCCCTTGGTGCTGCAACCAAAATCAGCCTTTGCCGAATAATTTAATAGACAATATGGACTATTATTTATTATTTATTATTTATTACTAACAAAATATTGACCAAATTGATATATTGTCGGGCTTCATTGAATATATTATATTTAAGTAGTTAGCAGGATGTACATCAGGTCAGGTGTGATGTCAATTTAATGGTAGATGGTTGGTGTAACACTCACGGGGTCTTTTGGTAGAATGCTAGTAGATGCGGCGAAAGCGTACAATAATCGTATCGGGACAATCAGCGTATGTCAATAAGTCATGTTTTTTTAGATTATTAGACATTTATTAGACGTTGACACGTCAAAAAAGGGAACTGTACGTTTATTTTGTACCATCCCTAAAATAAATACGGTCTAATGTCAAAAGTCAATACGTAATTATGCTGCAGCGCATAAGACTGTGTACAGTTTCACCTGACAGTTAATTTTTCTCACCTAAATTCATAGTCATGTATTATTTGTTACTTTTGAACAAGTTAACTGCGGACTGTTAAACGTAGTGAACGTGGCCAAGCGTTTAAAATTCATTACACGTTGCATGTTCTCTGCAATTTGTCTCTTGAAGTCATCTTGAAGTTAACTGATAACATCTTAATATTTCTACTATGGTTTTATTACTGGCTTTTTTTAAGTCACGTTTTCTTGAAGTATACCGAGGAACACCTACACAAAGATACAATGTTAAATTAAAATTTATCAAAGGATTAAATTGTCCAAAAATATCAGATAATTTTGAATTAGACTTTGCCCGTTACACGGCAATGGGTGGGTGATTGATTATACTAACAACTGTTTATTTACATTTAAAAAAGGTTATTTCCCGGGATTTACGCGCACTGAAAAGTTTTCGTGGCTAACAAGATTAGACTTATTATGCATTACATAGTTGTATGTATTTTTGTATGCTTGTAACATAAAAAAAACAACAAAAAAACATTTTTTTGGTGTGCATACTCTTTATGATTAAAGATATATAGTAGCCGATTCTCAGACTTACTGAATATGCATAAAAAATTTCATGAGAATGGGTCGAGACTCGAGCCGTTTCGGGGGAGTATGGGAACGAACATTGTAACACGAGAATTTTATATATTAGATTTAAAATGCATCCTTTTTTTTATGCCAGCTTCATATCGTAACTACAACCGAATCATAATTTTCTTATTAGTTATATACGTAGTAATATGAACTTTAATCTTCAAACAAGTAATCGTACATGTTCAAGTTCTAAATTTGAAAAAATGTGACCAGACCTGTGACATTGAGGGTACCATAGATGGAGTTGTTTTCATCTATTCCATTGACCCTAGATCACACGCCGAGAATGTGACAGGAAATCCCGACTTCCGCTCGTCTAGAAATGTCTCATCAGACAATAATGCATTAATACCACGGATTTATATTGATGTCGAAATTTTCGTTCTAGTGTCTAGTGTTTTTCGGTCTATCTGAAAGAGCTTTATGTTATTTATACTTATATATTAAATTTGAAGAGTTAATTTAGTTGCAGGAACCTAAAGCTGTCTACACATCGCAGCCGCCGGCCCGCCGGCATGAACCCGGCGGGCAAGGCCGGCGGCCTTAGTTTTAACGATGTTGCCGGCGCGGCGGCTTGCGCCCGCGCGATCTTCCCCGCGGCACGCCCCTCTCCGCTCTTCACCACCGGTTGCCCACCGGCTTTTAAGAAATAGTGACGCGTCAGTGTTTTTATCGACTAAACATTATGGAATCCGTTAATGAAGTGGAGAGAAAAATAAAAAATTTAACAAGTCACTAGAAAGCACTTGGCAATCTCTAATTGTGAACACTGCATGCCGCGACTGTATGTCGTGCCGCCGGGAAAATTGTCAGGCTCGCAACTTCTAAAGCCGCCGGGTTCGTGCCGGCGCGCCGGCACGAACGCGGCGGGCCGGCAGCTGCGGTTTGAATTGAAAATTTATTTTCTGTCTTTAAATTAATTTTTGTGGATTTCTCTACTGCCTCGTAATTATATAATTAATTATGACTCAGTTCAGTAAGATTAGCTTTTGAATTTTTATTAAAATTCTTATTTTTTAGATTTTAGTTCACTTTAGTATTTTTAGTGTTACATATAATTTTGTTTTTTGTTTGCACTTCTTGTACTTTACCCTCAGTTGGTGTTTCTTTTTTTTTATTTTTCCAGACAAGGATTGCGTGGAAGAAATCGATTGTTAGCTATAAGCCCGCCTAATAACTTAGGTCATCTATTTTTTATATGTAAGTTAACGATTACGAAAATTAATCAACAAAGCTTTTTATAAATTTGAGGACTACTTAAATGATCCTAATCCTTGGGATTGAATTGCTCCAGTTCAAACAATTTGTATGACAATACTTGGCGATTAAAAAGAGTGGCGGAAAGTTTCTTGCCAGTTCTTCTTACCCGCTCTACGCCCTTGACTTGCGAACTGGTAGTAAATGTAAATTTACGATTAATTTAACTTGACGATTCAAAAGTGTACTTGGTTTACCTACTTGAATAAAGATATTTTGAGTTTGAGTTTGAGTTTGATTTTAAGGTATTAAGGCAATGTGTTAGGTCTTTGAACACCTTATTAATAAATAAATAAGCCTTTATTTATCTACATCTATACGTAGTTAACAAGCAAAAAGATTATTATTCTAAGATGCGGGCCCCGTCTGGAAGAATGGCCTCCTCAATCTTTTTCCACCCTATTTTATCTTTTGTCGTCATCATGCAATTTTTGCCAGTACCCTTTCAATCTCGTCGGCCTATCTCTCTCTCCTCTTGTTTCTCTGTCCTTTTGGCGCAGTCGGTTACTCTTTTTGGAGTGAACACTAGTGAACTATATCCCCATTGAGATTACACATAGCCGAATCGGTGTGATGAAAATTATAGAAATAAATCTTATTAATATGGAACTTCATTTACATTACAGTGGATAGTAAATCTAAGTAATTGTTTGGTTTGAATAGCAATGGCAGGAAAATATTTTACTCTGTCTGACAGTGACGTAATGTAATTGATGCGTACGCGCCGTTCGGGTCTAGTAGTTATAGTTTTTAGGTCTAGTAATATTGATTGTAGGATGTTGAAAATTAAGACGACCTTTGCTTAAGCACTGTAAATAAAAAATTAAAATAATAACGTGGATTTAATAACAACTTATACGTGTCGTGGGTAATTGTATTATATGTATAATAATGAGCAGTGTTGGCCTAGTGGCTTCAGCGTGCGACTCTCATCCCTGAGGTCATAGGTTCGATCCCCGGCTGTGCACAAATGGTGAAGGAAATCATCGTGAGGAAACTGGCTTGCCTTAGATCCATAAAGTCGACGGCGTGCGTCAGGCACAGAAGACTGATCACCTACTTGCCTATTAGATTACCAAATGATCATGAAACAGGTACAGAAATCTGAGGCCCAGACCTAAAAAGGTTATAGCGCCATTGATTTATTTTATTTTATACGTGGGTAATTGTTAATCCAGGCTAAAATGGAGATACAGAGATATTTTTTTTATATAAATGGGCATGGGACCCACCTGATGTTAAGTGATACCACGTCCCATCGACACTCACATTGCTAGAAGGCTCGCAAGTGCGTTGCCGGTCTTTTAAGAATTGGTACGCTCTTTTCTTAAAGGTCTCTTGAAGTCTAATTGAGTAGGAAATAAAAATAATATAGTTTCATGTTTTGTATAGGATTTTTACTTAAAACTTAAGATTATTCTTCTTTTATGATGTAAATACAGTGTTTATTATTATCATTCCAACGTCACGTTTTAAGCTTTATCGTTGATAATGGCAGGAAGGAGGAAGTTGCTTAATTGTTCGTGCCTTATAGAGATCCAGCAAGTAGACATGAAGTAAAGTTCTAATAAGATAATTTTAATTTAAAGCAAGTCTATTTTATACTCAAGATTCGCATAATTTTTTCTGCTTCCTTGAGCCAATTTTGCCAAACGTAATCCTTCCTTAAGTTTATATAGTTACTAGCTGATCCGGCAATCGTTTGTTATTTTCCATGTATATTATTTCTAGGAAACATTTTTTTAGTTTAATAAAAATAATTATCTACAATAATAAAAAATAGGGGTTGATCGAAGGGAGGTGACAATTAGGAATTGTATGTATTTGTGTATGCTGTATCATAAAAAAAATAAAAATATATTTTAATAAAAACAATATTTTGGGATGGACACTCACCACTTAGGGGATTGAAAGATAGATAGTAGCCGATTCTCAGACTTACTGAATATGTATAAAAAATTCATAAGAATCGGTCGAGCCGTTTGGGAGGAGTATGGGAACGAACGTTGTGACACGAGAGTTTTATATGTATATATAGAGCTAAGGTAGACACACTGTACACATTGTGTCTAGAGTTTATGTCTTATTTTAATTTTGTTATTTACGATTCGTGTTTGACGCTATTATTTTTTCTCGCAAGCTATTTCTGACATGCATCATTACGGCTAATTCGCATAATTAAATGTCAAGCCATAAATTTCGTTGCGAACTTTTTACTGAACTTTTATTACCTAAGTAGGTCAACCTATGCTATGAATTCGTATTAAAATAACGGATATTATTGTTTAAAAGATATAAATAAATATAGATTATATTTTAATGATTAAAACATCTCTAAGAGGTTTAGGTTTTATCTTAGCTGATAAGACAATATTATTATTCATACTAAGTCGGTCATCTTAAGCTTATCTAAACTCTCGTCTCGTTCTCACATTGTTAAGCTGTGATGACAAGGGCATTCGGAGTCGGCCCCCCCAAACCCACCCCAAACTAATAACAATTTCATGAATTGGACGTCGAATTCCTTCCGCATTCACCTAATTCTCCAGATTTGGTCTCTGCGACTTTTTCCTGTTCTCAGACTCAAAGAGATAGCTCGCTGGACAGAATTTTGCGCTAATGAAGAGGTAATCACCGAAACTGAAGCCTATTTTGAGGCTTAAGACAGACCGCTATAATTGTTGTATCGCTCTCGAAGCCAAATGTTAAATAATCAAATCCAAATCTATAAAAAAAAAACATTTTTTCTACGTTGTACGAACTTCAGCCCACATAAGTTTTATTATTTGTATTACAACAACTAAGACTAGTCGTAGAAACTTATAAATAATTATAAAATACGAATTACTGTAATTACGCTATCAATGTTAAAAAATATTTGTTATTAAGTTTACTTCATCAATATTTATTATTTTACTTGATATGGTTAATTAATTTAACTTTTTTCAAGTCTTAACATTTGAAACGCTATAATGTTACATGGTCTGGTGATGCATGAAGTTTGGTAATTTATATTCTTGGGGAATCGTTCAACGATAATAGTAATTAACGGTTATAGTAAACTGTAGTATAAAATAGATGTCTTACTTCTTTGTTCAGTTTGTATACTTAATCTTTTTAATAGTGTATTTATTAACGGTTACAAAAAAAATATTAAGAAGATTTAAAGCTAATTATTAAATTATGTACTAAATATAAAAAACTATTCACACCAATAAAAAAAATACTTAACATATAATTAAGTACTTAATAAATAGATGTACAAATAAATTAATTTCCATCCAGGCTATCTGGTAACTATCACAGACAACAATGAACACACCTACAAACAAACTCGTCACTAATAAATGTTATGTCGATGTCTAAACTAAACTAAAAGCATCACCGTTTCATATCGTATCCCTAACATAGTTTATAAATTGTCTTTAATTGTTTTTTATTCCTTCTAAGTGCTATTACTTTTAGCCACGTACTTCCTGCACTTTACCATATTCTATATTTCCTTACAAGCGTTGTCTGGAAGAGGTCGCCTAGATGAATATATAATAATTTATTATAATAGCGCCCGTTTATTCCCAATTTAGTTTTTTAGATTTGTTATATACAAATTTTTCTTATCCTTATGTACTTAACTTCCTTTAGTACCGTTGATCAGAACCCCTTCAAGGGTAAAAGGTCTCCTCCAGGTTTTTCCCAATTCTCAATCCATGGATTTCTTTCTCCATTCGCTTCTTGCGAACGTTTCTATATCTTCTATCCATCTTTTGTAGGGCGCCCATATTCTTCTTCCCCTTGGTACTTTCCATATAGTTGTCTTTAAAGTTCACCTTTTATCTGTGCTTCTTGCTATAGCATTTTTAATTGTATTATAATCTTTCACAGATCCCGCTTGTAGGCAATGAAGGAAAAACAGGTCTGGGTGCGACTCCAACTCCAGAGCCACTGGGAACCCTCGGACCTGCAACTATGAGACTCGCGGCAAAAACAAAAATGCTGCAACCGCCTGCCAAAGCATTCCAAAATGAGCCTGAAGATGAATTCGAATAAGTGCTATTTCTGACTGTTCAACATTACAGTTTCAGATGGAAGACCTAGGTTTTTCAACTAATATTAATGATGGGTACACATTTATATATAGACAGCATGATAAATTTTGTAAGAGTTACGTATATAATATATCGTGAATATTCGCTTGGCTTGTGTTTGTTTCATTGATGATTTCACTTTATGGACTTGATAATTATAGAGATTCCTCATGTTATTTCACCATTCTAATAGTATCTATGGTCATAGAAAGTTAAATCTATTTATGCACTGGATAATCTATTTATCAAATGGGCTAACAGTGGTCTATCAATTTATGTCATTATTTTATGTAGAAACATCAATTTCCCATCAGAGTTTTTTGACAGTTCTCATAGCGTACGCCCTTTTTTGTACCTAGTACGCCCGTTCACGCTGTCTAACAGTAGTTGTTAAGTTAGTTTTTTTCCTTATATAATTGTACAATAAAGTTGCGTCAATAATATACATTTTTTGGAATGTTTTTTTTTAAATAGCCAAGTAAGTAGATGTTAAGCTGTACCTGGTTTGTGTACACCTTTCGTGGAAAGACTCCTATCTTATCAATTCGAATAGCAAAGAAAAGAAAGCAATAACAGCTGGTCGATTGCCAACATTAATAAAAACTCTCGTAAGACTTCTGGCGTGGTCAGTTTCACATAAAAGTATCCTTTGCTCAATCAATACGTAATCGAATAGTTCATATATAATAATCAGTTTCGTATTTGAAAGTTTGAAATGGAAGGGCAAACAATATTGTTTAAAAAACTTAGTTAATGTGGAAAATCGATGTGTACAATACGACAATATTTTCATAAAGCTCAAAGCCCCATGAATATAATCAAAAAATCAAAATTCTTTATTTGTTTAGCTATATATCATAGAATTCAGATTGAGGCCTCCCTAGTAGGTCAGAGACCTGTGACAGGGAAGCCTCGCTTATTCGAATAATTATTGAAATATACAATTAAAGTGTAATCACTTGTGCTTAGAATATTATTTATTTCTAATTATACGCTATTACCGTCAAAGTTTGCATTTTAAGTTGTGTACACATTACTCTCTCTTTTCAATACCTTTGTATCGCTATTTGAAAACGGAAAATATTAATTAATAATATTTTTTTTCTTTTCGAAAGTCCAGTGTACCTATTAATTTAAGGCTTATGTAAATATTGTTTTCGACACCAGCGGCTAACAAAAATACTTTGCGATAGGCGGTACCCGTACTAACGCCAATCGGTACGGTCACGTGACCAAGCTAATGTCATTTCTATACAATTTTATGTCTGACGCAATGTATTCTATTAAGGCTTATTAAATGTGTGTCCCTTCTGGAAGGATAGAATATGGTATATGAAAAATGAAAACCATTATACTATAAATGATTATAAAGTTATTTATATTGAATATGTTGTTTTATTTAGAATAGTAATATAGTTAAATTTTAAATAGTTTGTTTAATCTATCGCGGAATATGGAGAGTGTTCAGAGGAGTTGTCGGACTAATGCCTGCAGCTGAGTTTTATCACCGGTCGTCAAGGCAGAATACAAAATACCATCCGTATCACCTCGACGTCCGTCGTTCCACAACTGAGCGTTTTCTAAGGCAGTTTTTGCCGCGCACCACCACTATGTGGAACTAGTTGCCCAAGAGACTAAGTTGCCCAGAAGTATTTCCGAACCAATTCGACTTAGGCGCCTTCGAGAAAAGAGCGGACCAATTCTTAAAAGGCAGCACGCTTGCAAACCTACAGACAGTGTGAGTGTCCATGGGCAGTGGTATCACTTAAGATGAAATAAATTATCAATTTTTATTGTAGTTACGGTTCAGTACTTTGGCTATAATGGCTTACACATAAGATATAGTATACTGTATACTGCGGCGGGCTTTTTGGTACAATTATTTAAGTTAAATATTTCCATCATACATTACATATGTGTAACTCTAGCGTTTTTGGCAGGGCACGCCAGAATAGCTCGCAGATTGTAAATTTTTTCCTACTTGATATTTTGGTCAATTCACACTGCATCTTTATAAATTGTAGGCTATGTGTTATTCTGATGTATAAGCTATATTATTGTCAAGTTTCATTAAAATCCATTCAGTAGTTTATACGTGAAAGAGTAACAAACTTCCATCCATAAACTTTCGCGTTTATAATATCAGTAGGATATTGAAAAGATTTTTAAGCGATTCCATAATAACTTACTTTTTCTTACTAAGTTAAGAAGTAAATTTCATAATGGTTTTATGTAAATTGTCTAAACTGAATTGTTGAAGGGGTCGCTAAAAGTAGGTTCGTGCGAAGATAATCAAATAAAAATGTATTATGCACAAAGTTAATAAACATAATACAGGTCAAAGGTCATTTGCGTGAAGTCGATATATCGTATTGAGCGAGTTTTCATTTTTTTGTTGAGGCACGCCATTTCTAGTCAATGACATTCCAATTCTGACCTGTCTCTAAGATTTATATAATCTACTGCTCATTATTTATACGTTATGTTCCTTAAGTATAAATAAATCAGTGGCGCTAAAACCTCTTTAAGTCTTGGCCTCAGACTTCTGAAACTGTTTCATGATCATTTTTTAAATCTAGGCAAGTAGGTGATCAGCCTCCAGTGCCTGACACACGCCGTCGACTTTTTGGGTGTAAGACATGTCGGTTTCCTCACGATGTTTTGCTTCACCGTTCGAGCAAATGTTAAATGCGCACATAGAAAGAAATTCCATTGGTGCACAGCCGGGGATCGAACCTACGACCTCAGCTATGAGAGTCGCACGCTGAAGCCACTAGGCCAACACTGTTCCTTAAGTATATTAAAAATAAATACCACTTCGACCCTTTTTTTACCCTCCTGGTTCTGAACTCGTACCCAACTGGCAAAGTACGTCCCCTATAGCCTGTTGAAAAAAAACAAGGACCTAGCAGTGCGGGAAAGTTCACTTCCTTGCATAACCGGTCATCGGAACTATCATTTTCCGTTTTGACTAACAAGAAAATATTCTAAGAACCGATTATCATACTTTCTATCGAGTTCTTAGTAATATGTGAGTAAACACGTCGATTTATGTGTAACGAAAAGAAACGTTCATTATATTACAAAATGTTGAAAAAGTTTTTTTCCGATGTGACCTGTCTCAGTTATATTTATACAGTTTTGAACGAATTTAAATCTTGACATTGACGATGTCTTCCTTGGCATAGTGGAAGGTTATCTGGCAGAATAATAATGCAGCCACGGTCCATGGTTTCCGATAACACCAGTAGTTTCTTGTGAGAAAGAGAGAAAAAACTTTATACACAATAAAAAGGATATTTAGGTATAAACTGCACTAGGAATTCCTGTGTTCTTTTGACATGTTAACGGTACTTGATAAAAATGTCAACAGGTTAGGTTGGCAATGTGTGCAGTGTTGGCTTGAGCGTGTGACTCTTATATTTGAGGTGAGTAGGTTCGAACCCCGGCTACGAACCAATGGACTCTTCCAACATTGGAATGTGAAAGAAGAATTGTAATTCTGACATGCTCTACACCCAAACAGTCGACGGCGCGTGTCAGTCAGAAAAGGCTAGGCTAAGGCTATAAGAAAAAAAATATCACGAAACAGATACCGATACTTGAGGCCAAGACCTAAGCGCCACTGGTTTTCTTTAGGTTGGCGATCTGGTCCGAAATTTATTTTAGCGTTTTGGGTATGAAACTAAATCTATCATTCCCTCTTAATACAGGCAGTCGGCACAGAACACTTCTAATATTGGAGAAAAGGTGCATAATCTGTATTTTTATATTTAAAATAGAAATGTGCAAGGTTAATGCCTATGAAAGCTTCTACAGTAAAATGTTCTGATGGCGGTTTCGCGTGTATTGTCGCTAGTTGCAAGTGCAATGCAAGGTGATTAGCTGAACATAAAGTACCTTGATTGCAGCCGGACATGCATTCATTCATTTCCAGACGGATAGAAAATAGTGACATACAATTTAAAATTCCAGTTCAGTACTTATTTAAGTTATTCAAAATATCAGTACTACGAAAAATAGAATTACAGCCAATGTTTTTTTAAGTACTTTTTCGGGAAGCCTAGAATAGATTGTTTGAATACTTTATTATCATTCAATCATATGCGCAATAAAATTATATGAAATAGCAGTCCAGTAATGTTAATGTTTATTTAATCAATTATCGTCTAAAATTCGTAATATTAGCGCGTTTAACCAATTCAAAAGGGTATTAAAGATGCATATCAGAATGACTAGGTTCATTTTGATATGTATCTTACTAAAGTTGGTAAGGCTGGTGGCGACTGGTATCCCGTTCGTATATAGGTACATATTAAGTTTCTCATGTAAATAAAAATACATTTTTTGTAATGAGAAATAAAGTTCTTTAAACATTTTTCTTTAGCGTATCTGCAAACAAACATCAAATGTTATATAGATAGTTTCCTTTTTCATTTATCACATTGCCATCATCAGCTCAAGGATTCCACTGCTGGTCGGCACTTCTGCAACAAAAGACCACACGTCTAGTACAGCCTGCACTCCGTAGCACTGCACGCTCCCGTCCCTTTTGCTCTCAATATTGATTTGCAGCATGGTAACCGAGAAATGTTACTTTAAAAATTTATATTAAAAGCCTACTGATCATCCAATTAATAACAGTATACCGTTTAATAGATTAATACACGGAATCTACATTTTAATTCGGTAATTATTGTAATATAACAGCAGGTATCCTCAGATAGAGTAATTAAAGTTAAGTAGGCAGTTAGTTATAAAACCATAACACGATATTTTATTAGTTATGTTTTAACGTTTTATGTTAATTGTTTGTAGTTAAGATTTTAAGATAGGCCATGTTGGAAAGATCATTACATTTTATTTTCTGTAATGCCATAAAGGGTCCGGGTAATAAAGTTATTATACAGACGTTTGTATGTTTGTTTGCGAATTAAAGTTTGATTTTGAAGATGCATAACG